GAGGCAATGAGCAGGGCAAGAATGACAGGAGCAGGAAATGAGCATGACAAGGCAGACAGAAGCAGGATCATAACAATTTTGTTATATTCCACAGACAGACTTGGTATGGGAGGTAAGATTTATAATTGGGTTTTAGATTTTATGTTTGGGAGGAAAATAGAAGTAAGAGTAGGGGCTACTTACTCTAGTAGATATATTGTAGAGAATGGTACCCCACAAGGCAGTGTTTGTAGTCCAATTCTATTTTATATAATGATAAATGACATATTTGATCAAACAGACAATAGTGTAATGTAGGGGAATCTTTATATGCAGATGATGGGACTTTGGGTGCGGGGACATAATCTCCCATATCTACAGAAAAAGATACAGGAGGCAATTATGAAAGTGGAAGACTGGGCAAATAAGTGGGGCTTTAGAAAGTCTGTTGCAAAGACCCAAGTTACATGTTTTTATTGAAGACATAAGGAAATTACTTTGAATCTTTACAATCAAAAGCTTGAACAAGTGAATACAGTGAGATTTTTAGGTGTCATATTTGATGAAAAACTTACTTGGAAACGGCACATAGAATCTGTTCAAAAATAAATGTAAAAAAGTTAATAACTTACTAAGWTGTCTTTCTGGTCAGGAATGGGGTGCTTCAAATTAGTGCACTGTTGGGAATTTATCAGGCTCTTATGAGATCTTCCTTAGATTATTGCATAGCATTTATGGCAGCGTCTGACAGTCATCTGAGGAAACTTGATGGAGAACAAACACAAGCGTTAAGGATATGTTGTGGGGCTTTTAGATCTTCTTTAGCTGCTTTCAAGTTGATAATGATGAGCTTCCTTTTAAGGTTAAGAAGAATGAAACAAATGTACGTATATGTACTGGATAAACTTCCAGGGACATAATTATGGTCATCCAACAAAGGCTGTGTTACAGGACTGTTGGGAACATAATGAGTCTAATTACAATATGGATAGGGGATATAAAAGCTCAAATTTTAGGTCTGACACAGTTTCAGTATTACTTAACTGTCCCACAATCACTGATTCCACCATGGTTATTTATCACACCAGTAATTGACCTGCAATTGGAGAAAAAAATTACAAAGGAAAAAATTCCAGAATGGATTGTAGTTAAAGAATATTTTGAAATATTTACAGAAGAATTAGTAATACAGTTGTAGTGTCCAAGAGTGGGGGCCTCTAGGAATGCACAGATGTGTTATGCCTCTCTTAGTTTTCTAGCTCCAGAGCTCAGCACATATTACCATATTAGGAAAAGGAATGCTTAAGGTATACCGTGACAAAATTTATGATGCCTCTGTTGAACTACACTGTGCAACCTATAAAGAGCCTTGTACGCCCCTGCTCTTGGCCTTCGTACTTCATCTTTCTTACTTGGTGAATCATTTGGCTTGGAGGCCATAATTTGGTTTTTGGCTGTAATCTCCTGGACTGCAAAATAAAGATTCTTGCTGTTCAACCAGCCTGTTACAGAGTTTCTCTCTTCACTGAGCAACAGCGGTTCCGCAGAACCAGAAGACGTGGTTATTACACCTCACAGTATATACAGATAGGTCTAAAGATTAAAAAAGTGGCAGAAAAGGAGCAGCTATAAATATTCCACATCAAAAAATCATGATTAAAAGAAGAACAACAGATCATCTATCACTTTATACAGTTGAATTAATTGCTATTATATTAGCTTTAGGTTGATTGCTAATAATATTAGGAAAATAAATAGAGCTATAGTTGCATCAGATAGTCTAGCTGCAGAATCTGGTCAATCTTGTAGATATATTGTTTAATATATATCACTTGTTGGTCCAGATACATAATAAAAACAGTTCTGTTCGATTTCTCTGGATACCTGCTCATGTAGGAATAAAGGGAAATGAAGAAGTAGATTTATTTGCTAAACAAGCCCTGAAATTAGGTTTTATTAACTTAAATGTTCCTCTGAGCAAAGGAGAGGGAAAATGTATTATTCAAAACAAAATCAAAAAGGTGTGGCAGGAACAATGGGATGAACATGATACTGGCAGGCATTAGTATCCAAAAGACTGTGGGGGGTAATAGAGCGTATGAGGGAAGAAGTGATTATATCACGTCTTAGAATTGGTCATACAGGCCTTAACAGTTCTCTTCTTCGAGTAGTAAAACATGAAACAGGGACTTGTAATTTTTGTAATCAGATTGAAACAGTGGAACATGTTTTATTAGAATGTAACAAATATTCAGAGGAACGTCAGCATTTAAAGTTAGTTTTAAACAGAGAGAAAAAAGCGTTTTTTTTTTTAATTAATATTTTGGGAGATGAATCAAAATCAGCAAGAAATCAATTAATTCGATTTTTAAAAAGAGCCAGGTTATTTAATCATATTTAAAATATACATATGCATGCATGTGAGCATACATATATTTTAGAATTTATATATACTGTATGAAGCACACTCACACACAGCATTGATCCCTCTATCATTGAGGTCCACACTCCAGGTGGCGGTAAATGCACCTTAAGTTGGTTTGTCATCCGCCAATAAAAGAAGTAGAAGTATAAGGATGGCTTCCAGATTTGGGCAGCAGGAGTTCTTAGGTGAAATTCCCATTTTTGTTCCCCTTCTTTTTTTGTGTGTGTATATACTTATACACACATACATGATGTAAAATTTCATATTCTTTTAATGCATCCTTTAAAAAGAGAAAAAAATTGCTATAACTTTGTTTTCCACAGAGTAACCATAATGTTTTCCTCCTTTTGCTTGTATTTTTCTGGTAAACTCTAGAGCCAGGTCCAAATCTGAACCAGAGTCCTGTCAGCACATCCTGGTGGGTCAATAAACAGGAGGACAGAGACAAAGGAGATGCAGTCATGGTGGGCAAAAACTCAGTTTTAAACCAAGTGGAAAAGTTGATTGTTTTACCTGTGTGAGTGCTGACTCAGCATTCACTGTTTCCTGTTTTATAGTTTCTTCTGTGTACTTTTGGACTGTAAGCACTACAGCAATCTTTCAGCTATTTTAACTGTGTTCAGGACATTACAGCAATTAATTTAGAGTTTTTTTTATAACATTTAAATGTTTTGAAATATTTCACTTGGCTGCAGTTTTTCTTTTTCTATATTTGAAATGATTGAATTCATTGGTTCCTTGAAAAACTGAGTGAAATCCATTTCTATATACTGTATTTGCTACTTTGTTTGGAGCGGGTGTTTAGCTACTTGTTTGCTATTTGCAGCTTTACCTTTTTTTGCTTTTGACTTTAGCTACTTTTTGCTATTGCTTAGTTTTAGCTAGCCTTTTTTTTAGCTCATTTGACTGCCCCTCCCCTGAAATAAATAAATAAATAAATGTTGAGCAAAATTAATATGGAAGACAAACTGACATAATTAGGAAAACTATGTATAGATCGACCAATAAATAAATGTACTTTAAAATGCACCAATTAATTAAAAATGTAGACCTTTACTTTGTTTCGTAATTTAATTTCCCTTCATATTTTATTTTTCCATCTTAGTTCCAAGAAGTTTGATTATATTTAGCATATAATTTAAATTGTGCTGTTTTTTTTTACAACTTATATTTGTCCTTTTTCCCCCTTGTACTAGAATTTGCCTCGTGTTTTATTATTATTGTTTTTGTTTTCCAAAGTCTTATTTCCATGGGTTGCTTACACATGTTTTCACTTTTTTTCACATGCTTTCACATTTCACACACATATATTTCACATTTAGTAAAATTTAGCAATATGTAAGAAGAATGAGCTAAATACCAATAACATTTTAGTGGAAATTTTTTTAACACTCATAAAATGAGCTAAATAATCAATGTGTCAGTGATTTTTGTTTATTTATTATTTTATTTATTGCATTTCATTTCACACTTTGCATCCCATACTGTGTTGTATATTTAGACCTGTCTACATTTATGTATTTGTTTTGCTTTGTTTATATGCTGAATTTGCAGCTTGTTTTTAATAAATTGTTTTTTACAGATATTAGTCATTTTCATATTCTACTTCTTTAACTTTATATATATTTTTTTGTACTTTGCTGCTACAGCAGTGTAAATTGTGAGGAACAAAAATAAAAAGTCTAAAGCTTGTCTAATCTTGCAGGAGCAGCTTAAAGAGATGAATGAGCACGTTGCCAGGCTTCAGAACATGCTGAAGTCGGAACGAGCCAAAGTAAGTTGTGCAAATGTAAAAGTGACCTGAAGACTTAAGTATTTAACCCTCTTCTTAAGAAATAGCTTTGCTGTCGTTAGAGCTGTCGTCTGCAGCTGCAGTGCCACCATCAGGAAATGGAACTGAGGCGTCAGGAGATGCACAGCAGCAGACTGAAGGAGAGGCTGTCACAGCTGATTGACAGGCCCAAAGGGAAAGGACCATGTGAGTAACCCTCTGACAGTCTCGCATAAAGTACCACAAGTGATACTTGAGTAAAAGTACAAGTATCTTACCAAAAAATTACTTTGGTAAAAATTAAAGTCTCCTTTAAGAATATTACTTGAGTAAAAGTCTTAAAGTATCTGATATTTTTGTACTTGAGTATTAAAAGTAAAAGTACTGATTTAAAATGAGCAGTTATATTTTCTTAATGACATTTATTAGGAGGTGACCTCCACAAAACACTGCAGAAATAACTATGGTGTATTAAAGGAGACATATCATGCTAAATGCACTTTTTTTGCATTTTTAAACTGTTTTTTGTGCAGTTATAGTGTCTAGGAGTGTAGAAAACATCAATTTATTCTGTTCTGTTACTGCAAAGATATTTTTATATATTTTTATGGGTCA